CCTTCGATAAAAGCTGGTGTATATTATTTTTCTACCTTTTGACCTTGAGTTGGAAATTTAACATCATCCATGAGTCATTATCCATTTGTTGTTTCACTACCTATGCAAAGTATTATCTCATTAGAGTCAGTGTTTTCTTTTCTTAAAAGGCTATTCCCCAATAAGAGTCTTCCATTTGAAGTCTATTGTTCTTTTCCCTAGTGGAATTTCAACCCCTTTTCTTGTAGAGGTTCCTTTGTCCTTGGTCTGGTTTCTCCAGCAGTAGTTAGTCTCGTGTGGTATCATTCATCATATATTCAAATCATTGTATTCATATCATATCATATCATATCATATCATATCATATCATATCATATCATATCATATCATATCATATCATATCATATCATATCATATCATATCATATCATATCATATCATATCATATCATATCATATCATATCATATCATATCATATCATATCATATCATATCATATCATAAACATCATCGTGGTATCTTAGGACCAAAAATTATGTATTCTATATTTAAGTCCCTACAATCTCGTCGAGACGAAGATTTCAATCTTCATATCTCCGGATATAAGCAACTTAAATAGGGGCAGCTGTCATACCCCAAATTTTGACCTAAGATCTCATCTTCATTTACATTTTTCATATAAAATCAAGGTCACGAAATACGAGACAGGTCTGAATCAAGAGCATTAGGCATTACGCCTCAATTAGGGTTTTTTGGTCCCTCAAGTGTTCAAGAATGCTGACTCACAAGTTCTCAAAGGCTACTTCAAAGCATAACCTCTAATCTCAAGAGCACAATCAAGATTTCATCAAGGTTTCAACTGTGAATGCCCCAAGCTAGGGTTTGGTTTCTTTTCAACACTTCAAGGCACTTTTCCATCAATGTACATCAGAGACAAGGAGGATTAGGGCTTTATTTCATGGTCATCCTGAGCATTCATCCCTCCATATTTCAAGGACTTATTTCTGGCTTGCGGATCAAGTCATCGTCTCTTATTGTGGTATTCGTCATTTAAGTCACTGTTTTGCTTACAAGATTCATTTATCTTACCATTCATCAAGCTAGGGTTATGTACTATGACTCAAAGGTTTTTTGTTCAGCGACTTGTTACTCTTAAGGCCAAAATTATAGTTTGCGCGAGTAATGGATCCAATGGTCTTTTGATATGTCACGCCAAGGTTGTATGACAAGATTTCTACAAACAAATATTTAAAAATGAATATTAAATCAACGCACACATGTTTGTTTAGTTTGAAGCTATGGTGCAAAACGAGAACATGATTGATCTTTTAATTCCAGAATTATACAAGGGTTTACATCAAAAGGTTTATTCGTGATTCAAAATTTCTTGAGTACCACAAACCTAAATTTCAAGCAAACTTCACACTATTTTTGGCATCATTTTCAAGGAGAATCTATTCAGGATACTTGAGAGTTTTGTTGGTCTTTAAAAGGTTAATCCATAAGTTTCTCATAGAAAAAACAACACATGATTAAATTCAAAATTTATTCAAGATGAAATAGTTATAATTCACCTAGCCGTTACAAGTTGAAATGATACAATAAAAGATACAGTTACAAAGTTCTCAAGGTTGATTTTTTTTAATCCAAGTATAAGCCTTTTCAAGAATCATTTAATTCAAACATTACAAGGTGCATCATAAGTTTCTACATGAATTCCTAAGTCTAAAAATCATTCATTAGTCTTCATGCTAAGCCAAACCAATAATATGTCCAAAACATGCCAAATCTGTCACAACCTGTAACCTGTTAGTCTGCCCTACACCCTGCTATTGTCTTGCTGCTACAAACACTTCAAACAATCCAAAATACCCTGCAAAAAACCTGCACCAAAACAACAAAATATTACACTAATTTAGCAAGACCAAAACCTTCATTAGAAAGGTAATAAATCAGAGTACCAAGTGTGTTAAAATGCATTTGTTCGCCCCTACCCCCCCCCCCCCCCCCCCCTCCCCCCAAATATACCTCAATTCCCTTATAAAAGGCAGCCACTCCTTCTAGTTCTTTGGACTTAAAAAAAGGGAAGGATTGAGGAGCCGCATTATGCTCTCTAAACATCTACGGATCTGTTAAAAGTGTTAAACAGAATATGGAGTTTGGAAGAACAACATGGTTCTAACATATCATTGATAAAAGTATTAAAAACAGGGCTAGATCATACCCGCATTAGGGTCAAAGAGTTGCTACGAGACCGGCGGGGGGAAGGCGTCTGCTATTGGGGAGCAAGGGAGGAAGAAAAGAAGTTAGAGGAAGAAAAGGCACCAAAATTATGCAGAAAAATTCATCCATATCTTCCTCCAACTCTGCACCAATCGATCCAGAAATTCCTCTAAAATTGTAGCAGCAACTCTCTACAACACAACCCTCTCACCATTTCAAACTTCCACCTTCATACACCCTTCAACGTACTCCCTCGCCAATCTCCAGAAACAACACAACAACGACCCGACTTCTATATTCAATTTTAACCCACCGCCTTGCTACTCCCTCCATCCATTGATCTCAGACCGAGAATCTACCTCCCAAACACCACTGTCAATAATACTTCGCCAGTAACTCAAATTTTCTCCCTTACAACCATCACACAACACCGATAACAATGGGCCTGCAGATCAGAAACGCAACAACAACACACATTCTCATCAACACAATAGTATAGAAAGAAGATGAACCTGAGATAAAAGAAGAAACAGAATCAGATATGTACCTTTCAAATATCCGACGAAAACCTCTTAGTAGTAGGTAACTCGATCTCTCGCTTCTTACTTTCATAACATCAAATTTTCTATTATATCATTATGAGTACTGTTTCATTTTATTATTGAATGTTGTTATTGTTGTTTGTTTGACTTTTCTACGGTTGAGAGAGAAACTGAGAGAGAGAAGTATGAAGAAAATCGAGAGGTAGGTTGTTGTAGTTGTTTCATCGATTGGAAATAGAGAAAAAATAAGTTTGGTTTTTCTTGTTGTTTCACGTATGATCGGTTGGAGTAGAGAAAATATTACAAAAAATGGGAAGGGTACGGTCTTTAGACTTAAAGAGGTGTTGCTTTTCTCTATTAGGGTTCCTTCAACCCTAATTTTGTTCGGAAAGAGGGTTGGATCCGAGTCCGACCCGACCCGTCCATCTAAGCCCATGTTTTTTTATATATATTTTATTTAAAATGTTTTTTGGGCCTCTGCTGTCCCCTTCAAAGCCCAATTCATTTTTTAGTTTCTTACCTCTATTTTTTTTCCTGTTTCACAACCTTATTCATAATAATTAATTTAGTTTAGGTTTAAATTAATAATCTTAGAATTAACTTAGTTTAAATTTAATTTAATAATCTTATTATTAATATAATTTAGATTTAAATTAATAACTTTATAATTAATTTAGTTTATATTTAAATTGGTTTAGATATTATTGAGTAACTTTAGATTTAATTTAGTAAATTTTAGAATTTTAATTTTGATAACCTTAGAATTTTTAATTTAGTTTAGATAACATTTGCTTTAGATGCATATCTATTTTACTTTGTTTCTTCAATTGATTTTCTTATTGTTTACTTGATTTGCTTTGCTTGCTTATTCCCTTGTAATCTTCTTGGTTGGTGAATGCTATCCATATAGTCTTTGTGTTTTATTCTAAGGGAAATAATTAATTAGTCGACTTCATGTCATTAAATATATTCGATACGATTGTGCGAAACCCTTCATTTTTTTTTATAATTTTGTTAATCTTAAAATAAATTTTCCTAAAAGACTCAATTTTAAAACTCACACCCTTTTAAGTCAAAACTTCGACATTAGGTCGTCGTTCAAAATCTCATTCACACTCATTTTAACCAAACAAACAATTTTTAACCAAAAAACAAATGTTTACAAAAGGTTCCTGCAGAGTACTGTAGATGCATTGTGTGCTAGTACCTTCCATTTGTATAATCAACCCCTGAACTTTCGATCTCTTTCAAAAATGCATTGTATTTTTATTACTTTTAAGTATTACTTTGCATTGCATATTTAAGGATTTTATTTCGCTCTTTTCCCTTTTCCTTTAAAAATAATAAAGCGCGATGACGACTCTTGCTTATTTCGCTCTCTGATTTTCACCGCAGTAGTTGTCGATGGTGATGAATAAAAATACAAAAATATGAATAAAATTGTGTTTTTTTAATACTTTTAATTATTAATTAATTGAAAGGCTGTGTTGTTAAAATATGACATTTTTTTACATTTATTTTTTATTAATGAAATTAAAATCTATTTTTATTTAGATTTTGAAAAGTGTTTAAGGAAAAATTTTAATAAAAACTTACAAAATTAGACTTATTAATATTTTATTTTTGAAGATTTATTTTTTCCATTTTATTTAAATATTAATAAATTTTGATTTTTTTTGAAGTTATCAAGAATTGAATTTGTTTTTGAAAGAAGTTAGCAAAAATTGATTTGAATTAAATGTATTATTTTATTTAATATTATTTTATAAATTATGATTTTGTTTAATTTTTAATTTTTTAAAATTAAAATGATTTATAATATTATTAAACAATGTTATAAAAATATTGACTAATAATTATTTTATTTTTTATCTTAATAATTATTATCACGTAACGTAAAATAAATTTTTTATCCTAATAATTATTGTCACATCTGAAAAATGGAACGAGAGAAAATAATTCAAAAAACAAAAGTGAACTTCCAAAAAGTGTTTTGAAATAAGAGAATCAAAATATTAAAAATATTTAAATAGAGGATAAAAATGGATTTAAACTGAGTTTGAATTCAATGTATATCAATATTTATTTATATTTTGAAAAAAAAATTGGTGTAATAGTTAAGACTTTGACTGAGAACTTTTATGTACGAGACCCGACCCGTTTACCATGTTCCAAAGCCTCCAACAAAACCAAAAACCCTTTTTCCTGTCATTATTCTACTCTTTCTTCCGCTTTCTCTCCACGCCAAACACGGAACAATGACAATGGTGAAGTCTCCTAAGAAACATGTTAACCTTTTCTTTTCCCTTGACTGTGAACAACTTGCGAACAAAGTTGCTGCTCATTCAGAGGATAGCATCACTCTCCAGAATGTCAATTGGAGGTAGTTCGTCGCTTTCTCTTTGCTCTATCAATTTTGGTTTTGGTTTTATACATTCTTTAGGTTTCATTGGATTTCTTTTGCAATTTGGTTTGGTTTGGTTTGAGCCCTGTGTTGTGTATCTATCTGTTTTGACAAAATCGATAACGGGTCAGGTTTTATGGTTAACCAGGTCTTTTGCCGATGGGTTTCCGAATATATTTATAAATAATGCAGAGGAGCTCCGGGGTCAACATGTTGCCTTTTTGGCGTCGTTCAGCTCTCCGGCTCAAGTCTTTGAACAGCTGTCTGTCATATATGCACTCCCTCGTCTATTTGTTGCTTCCTTCACTTTGGTATTGCCTTTCTTCCCTACTGGATCATTTGAGCGTATGGAAGAAGAAGGTGATGTAGCAACTGCCTTTACCCTTGCAAGGATGTTGTCAAATATTCCCATTTCAAGAGGCGGCCCAACTAGTTTAGTCATATATGACATTCATGCTTTGCAGGTTTGTGTGATGCTTTGTTCTACGCTTTGCTTTGAGGTCTATAATTTAAGGTTCTTATCATTGCTATTGAATTTATTTCTAACTGTCATTTGAAATTACACAGGAGAGGTTTTATTTCGGAGATGAGGTTTTGCCATTGTTTGAGACTGGTATTCCTCTTCTTAAGCAACGTCTGCAACAACTTCCCGATGCTGATAATGTGAGTACTATCCACTGCTTCAGTTGTCTTTCTTTCATATGTTGGTCAAACCAAAAATGTCAAAACTTAGTGTGTTTAATTGCAATTCTCATTTTTGATGGTCTGGATTTCTTATTGTTATTATCAGGTAGTTATTGCATTTCCAGATGACGGTGCATGGAAGCGATTCCACAAGCTGTTCGACAATTATTCAGTGGTTGGTCTCAATAAGGATATCTATAATTGATTTATGTTTTATTTCATTATAGTTGTCTGAATTTTCGGAGTGGCAGGTTGTATGTACAAAGGTACGTGAAGGTGACAAGAGGATAGTTCGGCTCAAGGAAGGCCATGTCTCTGGTCATCATGTTGTGATTGTTGATGATTTGGTCCAATCAGGAGGCACCCTAATTGAATGTCAGGTGAATTATTAATTTCTTAATCATAAAACGTGTATACATTTTGTGTTTGCCAAACGAAAATGCAACTTAACGTTTCTCTCTCTTATCCCTCAGAAAGTTTTGGCTGCCAATGGTGCAGCAAAAGTGAGCGCCTATGTCACACACGGTGTGTTCCCTAACCAATCATGGTTGCGCTTCACTCATAAAGATGGTTAGTCCTGTCTTAATCTCATCAACTTCTACGCTGCTATATTTTATATATATTTTAATGTTATTTCGATTTTATCTGTTTATTGCAGAAGCTTCGGAGAAAGCATTTGCCTACTTTTGGATCACAGATTCTTGCCCAGTTACTGTCAAAGCTCTAGCGAATCAAGCTCCTTTTGAAGTACTGAGTTTAGCAGGGTCAATTGCTAATGCCCTTCAAATTTGAAGCCAAAAATTGGGCTTTGTGAATAAAGGGGTTCTATTGTACAATTTTTCTGAGTTAAACATTATTACCATATTATCCTTTCACTCATTCTGTGCCTTGCTATGAGCTTAGCACACTGAAACCTGTGAATTGAATTTCTAACATTCTGAAACCTATCGTATTGAACTATGGAGTGTTAACAATTGTACTAGAAACTCAAATGCAAATTTATCTTAACATCAGATTACTTTTAAATAGTATTTTTGCTTAAATTGGTGATGTTCACATCAGATTACCATGACTTCTTATTTGATCCATGTTCTGCTTTTTCTATGTTGTTTTTAGCATGAGAACGTATTTGTTTAACATTAACATGTTGAGCAAATTCTTAAACCGTTGCGCTCATTTAATTCTACGATATAAACTTAGGTTAATCAAAGCAATATCAAGATAAAACCAATCCACTTTTCTCCTCGGCATTCTCTTTTGAACTTTTCATAGATCATGCCATGGCTTTATCGCATAAATGTATCGAGTGTTAGGAGAATGCTTAGCATGATACACCAACTTTTTTTGTACATATGCAGTAGTTAGAACTTCTAGACCATATGCAGTGTGTCTAGGAACAATACTTGATCTAACAAATAGTTATTCATTCTCTAGCTTCTCGTCTGAATCACCCTTCGAGCTCTTCAAAAAATCACCCGAGTAAGATCCATACCGTTGATGAATTATAATATTAACATTGCTGGATGGAAACTGTTCCTAGATGGTCACAGAGAAAAACAGTCAGACAAACCCTTGAATGTTTCATGAATAAAATCATAATAACTACCTGATCAATAGTTTTTACGCCTTGTGAACGAAAGAGGATTGGCCAACCGCGCTTATCCTCATTGATTAGGCCTGAATTCTGAAAATGCTTCACAAGTTCAGCCTTTCCTTGAATCTGTGCATATGTCAGTGTAGTAACTCTGTCACTGTTATAAATGTAATCCCATTTGTTCTCATGAAAAGCCTGCATAAATTTTCAAAAACTAGCATTCAAAATACTTTCAAAAGAATACTCATATTTCTTGCATGACAAGCTATGAACATGAAAACCAGAATATAGAGAGAAAAGTATAAAAACCTGATAAAACAGGATAACGAGTTTTGCAGAGAGCATATTTATATAAGCATAGCCCAAATTACACTTATTCTGCAAGCAATAGAGAATATGATGAGTCCTATTCCAATTTCACATTAATAGCCTAGACTTAATTTTTAATTATATCTTAGGATGTGAAAGATCAACATTATCTTAGAATAAGTAAAGCCAGTCTTATTTTAATAGAATAAGAAAATGCCATCCTTAAATGTAGAACTTGAATGTTCAACTCTTGTATAAATAGAGCATCATGCTACATTCCAAATCAATCAAAAACAGATTCGCATTATATAAATTTCTGAATCTTATATGGTATTCAAAACTTTTTTTGCAACCACCGTGGCTTCATAGATCCTACATTTTCATAGATCCTACATTTTCGTCTTCCGCTACAAGCTCGTCGTGTTTCTCTAATGGCGAGTTCGTCATCACCGACGCTCTCATCTACGACATCGAGTATTCCTTTTGCTACTTTCAACTATAAATTTATAGAAAAACTAGATGATAAGAACTATCTAGCGTGGCTGCAGCAGGTTGAACCGGTGCTCCGAATGCACCGTCTTCATCATTATCGTGTTGCTTTGCGAATTCTTGACCAGTACTTATCTGAAGCAGATCGTCTTGCTGGTAACGTGAATCATGCATTCACTGCGTGGGAAGTTCAAGATCAATTGCTCCTCTCGTGGCTTCAGTCGTCACTTTTCGCATCGTTTCTCCCTATCGTCATTGGTTGTCGTCACACGTGGCAGCTTTGGGATCGGATTCACCAAAATTTCCATTCTAAAGTCAAGGCACAACCACGACAGTTGAGAACTGAGTTAAGAACACTCAAGAAAGGTACAAACATTGTTACTGAATTTCTTGACAAAATCAAGGCAATCTTCGATTCTCTAATGTCAATCGGTGAAACAATTTCTACGATTGGGCAATTGGATGTTATTTTTGAAGGATTACCTTCAGAGTATGAATCTCTAATTACACTTATTAACAGTAAGATTGATTGGTTTGATGCTGATGAGATCAAAGCATTATTACTTGTGCATGAACAACGAGTCATCAAACAAAAAATTATTGAATAAGTTGCTTCGCTGAATGTAACTCAAGTAGCATCTTCAAGCAACCAGAATATCACTCCTCAAGCAAACTACACTGCTGACACTCAGTCAAATGACAACTTTAAGCCAGATAATGCTAATTCTGGACGTAATTTTTATGGTGGTCGTGGTGGTCGTGGCAACGGCCATTTCGGTCGTGGTCGTGGCTTTGGCTGTGAAAATATTCAATGCCAAGTCTACTACATGTATGGTCATGATGCATCCATTTGTTATCATCGCTTCAATACTCAATATGTTCCACAAGGTCAGTATCTCGATGCTTCTGCTTATGGTAACTATGATAATTCCTATGGAAATTCCTATCAGTGTGTGAGACTTTCTATTACTGCAAATTATATTGCTAATGCTACATCTTAACTACAACAATCAGCTTCTTGAACCATGCCCCTGCCTTTAGGTCCTTCTACCATAGTTCTCCAACATATGTTTACCAATGCTACTAATCCTACTACACCCATTCCTTTATTTGATACAGGCGCCACAAACAATGTGAGTTCTCAGCCAACACCTAACAATACTGGAGTACCTCCCCCTCCTCACCTAGAAAACTTCTTTCTAGAAAACAACCAAGGTTTGCATGTTCATTCCATTAGCTTTAAGTCATTTCCATCTCCTATTAATCCTAAAATTCAATTACATCTCAAAGATATTCTACATGTTCCTTCAATCACTGAAAGTCTAATTAGTGTTCAAAAATTTGCTTATGATAATAATTGTTATTTTCAAATTCACCCATTTCACCATGTTGTGAAATCACAGGCTGATAATGCTCCTCTCCTTCAAGGTCTCGTAGCTGCCAGTGGCCTATATCCTCTAGATAATACCAATTTCAAGTTTGTTTCATCTTTGAATAATGTTTGTCCTTCCTAAGTGAATTACATTGTATCACCTCACACACTTTGGCATAATCGACTAGGACATCCTAGCTCTGTTACTCCAAATTCTATTTTGAAGATGTGTAATCTCACAACTATTCTACGAAATAATATTGGCTTTTGTGTTGCTTGTTACATGGGAAAGTCTCACAGGTTACCTTCCCAACCTTCTAAAAATGTTTATACTGAACCTCTTCAACTTGTATATTGTGATTTGTGGGTTCCAACACCAATAGTGTCTTCTATGGGGTATACATACTATGTGTCCTTTATTGATGCCTTCAGTCGTCATACATGTATATATTTTCTAAAAACAAAGGATGAAACATTCTCTAAATTTAAGGAATTTAAGAGTCCGGTTGAACTTCAATTAAACACTAAGCTAAAGACCATACAAACAAATTGAGGGTGAGTTTAGACCTTTCAAACAGTTCCTAGCTGATCTAGGCATTATCCACGACTTATTTTCCCTCACACTCACCATCAAAATAGGATTGTTGAAAGAAAACATATAAATATTGTTGAAAAAGGGTTGCCCTTGTTGTCTCAAGCTTCTCTTTCCTATCATTTTTGGGATCATGCATTTCATACTGCAATTTATCTAATTAACAAGTTGCCTACCTCACACACTAATATGATCCCTGTCCAAGTTTTGCTTAAAACACCTCCAAATAACGATTTTCTCAAAGTGTTTGGTTGTTCTTGTTTTCCATTACTTAGACCCTACAACAATCATAAATTGCATTTCAAGTCCTCAGAGTGTACATTTCTTGGCTATTCACAATCGCGTAAAGGCTACAAATGTCTTGATGCATATGGAAGGCTATTCATCTCTAAAGACGTGTTGTTCAATGAGTCAGTATTTCTCTTTAACTATCTCAAACTACCTTCACAGTCCAACCCTGTACCCTCCTCCACACCCTCCACCTCTCCTCTTAGAGTCTTGTCTTCTATTCCTATATCATCTATCCCACCCATTAGCCCAAACCCAATCCCAGCTACCACACCTAACCTATACTCACATGTTCCATCTCACCAGAGCCTTATTCACCACACTGATAGTCACAACTCCACCTCTTTACCATCTATAACCTTCATACAATAATAAATAAGTAAACCTGGAAATACCAAACAAAGCCGTAATCAATACCTAATCAAAAATATATATATAGCATACTTTTAAGTCAATTGGCAAGTAGAGGAAATCATAAATCCCCTTGTAACCTTTCTCAATTACAGAAAGCAGCACCTTAGAAGTGTGCCTTTATAAACAATTGGAACACACAAAAGTCATCAAGAAATTCATCAAGAAACTTAACAAGATGTTGTTTGGTCTTACATGTAACGAATGTTTTTGATGATTAAGAAAGTCCTTGTATCTTCACCATTGATGATTTTGTAAAGATAAATCTCGTATTGTGGACTCTTACGTTTAAGAGCAGTTGTATGATGTAAAGACAATGTTTGACTAGAAGTACGATACATGCAAACATTTCTATTATTTATAGATTCCAAAATAAAACTGGTTGAGGCATGATGAGAGAAGCTTTGAGGTAGCTGTATATGAAATTTGGTGCATTAGGATGGTGCTGGATGCCATGAAAAGAAGTGTAAGGAGCCACATAGGTTTCATTCACCCTAGAAGAACTTTGTAGTTGCTCCTCAAAAAAAAAATTTTGATTATGTGAATGAAGAGTTTGAGGTAAATTAATGGATGAAAGATAGATTCTTATGATTATGAAAATTTCATATTTTGAGTTAAGACACAAAGGAAGATATGTTGTTTCAATTTTAGACATTTTTCACTTCTTGCAAAATGTCTTAGTAAAAAAAGTGCAACTCGTTGGTTCAAATAAACACACCTGGTCATTGGTTTAACTG